CACACACACACACACACATACACACACACACACACGCGCGCGCGCGCGCGCGCCCCATCTATGAGGCGAAAATTTGCTGTTGTAGTGGTCGCACTGTAGTTACAGACCACAGCTTATAATTAAGCTTGGTTATGTACTTAAATTAACTATTATATAAGTTATAAAAATTTCTACGCAACATTTGTATAAAATATAAAATAGCATAGACGATTAAGTTTTTAATTGCTAAATTGATTTTATTGTATAAAATATGTTTACAGCTATTAGATATTTGATATAATTTAGCCAATTCATCACAGCAAATTTATTCCTATATGGTATTTACTTAACGTTTTCCTATAAGTATTATAGGAATGGACATAGAACATAATGCTGGGCGAATGAATTTGATTAAGGGGTCATTTTATTCAAAACCTTAAATGTGCATAAACCAATTACAACGAAATGGTATTATTTTTTTTTAATTGTGCTACCTATCTTTTTATTTTATACTCATATTCCAGTATAGCCTGGTACCTATATATTATATTATTATTATATTATTTTCTTTTAATTTTTAATTTTATTTCATTGTACATTTGTACCTAACTGGTACATATTATACTAATTAAGTCCGTGCCTCGGAGACAAAGTTGCTGTGGTCACAAAAAAAAATTGGAACATTTCGAAAATCGATATCACTGGTGGAATTTAAAAGACACGAGGTCCATTCCTATTGCATGTAGGGCTGTTAGATCGGTTGTGACTTGTGAGTTAAGTTATCGTAGTCACAGAAAGTTGAACTTCACGTTAACGTCAATACGTAATCACCCCCACTGCAGAATAATTGTTATTTTTAAAGACCTATGGGTGTTATCGTAAATATGGTGTTGTTCACATAAAAAAAGGTATCAAATTTGACGAGTGCTTGAGATCAACGATATTACACATTCAACGTGAAGGGGTTAAACAGTATAGTTAAAAATGTTTAATGGGGGAAGCCATGCAAATAAATCTTAACAATACTTTATTTCAATGTCAAAATGTATTGCATAATTTAATAGACTAAAAATAATTTTTATATCTTTAACTATTGTATTTATAACCTATAATAATAATAATACAGTAAACTCCCCTCCCCCCTAATAACAACTCTAAATATCAGACACCTCCAGATAGGGAATGTTTTTTTTTTTTGATCAAACTATAAACTTTCTTCAAACTGAACAGTCTGGAGAGCAGACAAAATGTCAACAACCGAAATGATAAAAAATGTAGAGGTTTAACTGTAGTATAAATGCAACGAAATCCGCAAGATACAGTAGTTAAAAGAATAATGCTAGTCGAGTGTCTTTTAATCCGTCTTTTCTATATATAATTAATTTTAGTAAATATAATGGCATTTAAGAAATTAAATTATTTAATTTTGATTGAAGATTAATTTAACTAAATGGTCAAGATTTTGTTGGAAAATAGTGCAGACAAAAAATAAGCTTATGTAGTATACATACAATATCTGTTTAATCTAGGTGTAGATGTTGTAGCTGAAAATAATGTTTTAAGTTCATGACTGCCTTCAAAAAGAATAAATTATGAAAATATATTTTATTCAAATTATTTTTGAAAAACCAAAAGCTATTCCTCGCTCAGGTCTTATGGAATAAATAATTTCAACATATTATGTTTTCATCGTCAAAATGGCCACCATCTTAAAAGGTTAAAATTGATATATCGGTAATAATAATTACATCACTTTGCATCCTCGGTGGTGCAGGTACAAATAGGGCGGTCTTTGGGGGTGCTAATATATTTTCCCAGGTTTTAATTTTGGCGAATATGAACACATTTATATATTATATTATTTTAATTTCAAAGATATTCCACTTATTAAAGAAAACCATTGAATGCCGAATTACACCCTAGGTGGTTGGTGCGAACTGCAAACCAATACTCGGGCATTCGTCGCGTTTCCGCTTCAACAGTCGTAAAACAAAAAGCACAATCGACGTTGTTCGTCGACCACGTACGAGAATATACACACAAGAAGGGGAGTAGGTACCGGAAGGTTGCATCAAAATCCCAATAGGTACCTACTGCTATAGTATTATGTGACGAACAAAACACATATACCTACTATAGGTGATGTTAAAACAGGCGGTGTGCGTTGCAAGGGACGGAGTTTTGTTTACCGAAAAATTATTTGAAAATTAATCGTGTTCAAAAAAAATTACTATAGATGTTTTGTAAATAATACGAAGTAAATTAGCTCTGTCGCATTGAACTCTCAGCCACGGGATAAAATCTCATGCAGCGGTCAAGTCCACGTTTTTCTGCATTATAATATTAATGGTGCACCTATAGTTACGTGAAAAAATTGTGCTTCGATGTGCACTATTTTTTTCCATCTCAAAACCAAACTTAATAATAATAATAATAAAACCTAGAAAATTTATCAAGTTCGAATTTTTCCGGACGCGCGCGCGCGTGTGTGTGTGTGTTCCGCGGGTGGGCTGAGGGGTTGGAGGGTAGTAAACACACAAGGCATGCGGTAACCGTCGACGGCAGCGGTGGCGAGGGCGGTGCATTTCGGGCGGCGCGCACCACGTGGACATCGGGCCGAACCGGCGGCGGCGGCGGCGGCGGCGGCGGCGGCCGGGGGATACCATCCCTCCGCCGTCGACGTCGTATCAGCCTACGACGGCAGTCGCCGCCACCGACGCCGACGACGCACTCGGTCGCCGTCGACAGACGTATATCACGCACACATCGCCACCGCCGCCGAAGCCGAGCGAGACGACCCGCCGGCCGACACTCTTGTCCTGACTACGGAGAGCATCATCTTCGCCGCTGCCGGACCACCAAGGAACGACGATTTCAGCCATGGTCCGGCCACCGGTGACCACCAAGCTGCTCCTGGGCCTGTACTCTTTGTTCTACTCGTGCACGATCGCGCTCGACGGTAAGCAGCCGCGATCTGAATAATTTGTTTAATTTTTTTGATTTTAAAGATATTCAGCGCATTAGAGAAAATCATCGAATGCCGAATACACACCCCCTCCCCCCCCCACCGATTACGGTTTAGTTGTTTGTACGAAATTAACTGTCGTTGTCGCCGTCATACCCTGCAAACATATCAATTCTCATACTCTGGTTTGCCCATACTGCAATTTTCGTGCGTACACGAACACTTATATATTGTATATAATGTATTTTTATGATACGACAACGTGTTTTGTTTACGCAATCTAATCCCAAAATTATATAACATTTTTGCGTGGGTTAATCTTTTTTTGGGTGCACGAGTATTATAGTCGGTAGTTTGGGAAAAGAACAAATATTGTTATGTAATATACACATATAGGTATGCGCACCGAGCGCACAAGAGTTTTTAAATCTTTGTGCGAGACAAATAATTATTAAAAATGTAAAAGACATTGACGCGCCTTTGAACCGTATAAGAACGAATATGTGTACAGGAAGGTTTAATAATACTGAGCCGTATTGAAGTGCATCTAGAGAATAAAATAGGTGGGTACACGTTTCTTTTTTCCTTTTTTAAGCCGGAAGATTTCATAAACGCTACACAATTTTAAGCGAATATGGTGCAAAGTTTTTGCCAAGGATAAAGATGAAAAACTCGCGATCGTTCGCGTCGAATAATAAACAGTTTTTTTCTGGATAGGGGTGACGCGGCTGAGAACGATCTCTAGGGATAATTTCAAAGGGACCGTGGAGATATTTATTATTTAGCCATTTCGTTGTTTTAAGTCGAAAATCTAAATCAGAAAGCTAACACATTATTCAAAGTTAATTTGGGTTAAGAAAAATATTTCTGCGAACTTATGTGACATTTGTTGAGTCATATAAACGCGTAGGTAAAAATATATAATATAATATTTATTTTATATCGTTCGCTGATACATTTTTCTTATTTTATTTTTATAAAATATGGTATGCAAAGGTAAATAATCAAATTTTTGATTTAAAATTTAAAATGCCAATGCTTTATTTTATTAACAAGTTAACAACAAAACTGTTGAATATTGTATATTTGTGCTCAAAGGCCAAAACATAAGTATATAATTATAAAATATTAATAACGATATTGCAAAACATCATCGTTTCACGATTCACATTTACAAAAGAAATACATTTGATATAAGATTCCTTCGAAAACATACATAATAATAGTCTTTAAATTGTAATACGATATAATTTCCCTAAGATCTTGACATCAACTTGAAATGAACTTTTTAGACAGGCAATTTGTTTACTGGTGTAGAATAATGATCAAATGCGGATTCAACGAGAATAATAATATACATTTAAATACGCATTTTGCAATATTGTCTACGGATATAAGATATTGCATTGTTCTACAAATACTTATAAGTTTATAACATACAAACAAATATATAAAAAAAAAAGTATATTTTATGAAAAATTGAAAATCTCAAGCAATTTAGTTTTTTGTCATTGTACATTTTTATCAATTAATTATGAAAAATTTGATTAATATATTCTGATCAATCCTAATTTTCTAAAAAAAAAAATAAGAATACGAATATTTAGTAGGGATTAATAATTTTTTTTTGACAGGTTATTTGGTAGTGATTTGAGGAAGAGGATATTTTTTTCACGACATTAAGTGTTAAATTCCGATAACGTCAATCATCTAAAATCATTTTTATTAAGTAACTTAAAATAAATTTACCTACGTTCTAGAGCAAATAATCAGTTCCTTATAACTCGGAGAAGTTATTTTACGACATCGTTCACGGTTCTTTAAAAGTATGAAGGATTTTATAGTCAAATCTCAAAAGTAGTAATAAATTGTTAATTTTAATGTGTTTAAATTTTGAAAGTTTACCTGTATACTGTTGACTGTTAAATTTACATAGGTATATACCTATGACTTCAAAATAAACTAAAAAAACTTAATATACTTTTGATTTAATAATGTTTACAACTCAATATAACAATGAAATCTATGTGCTTTTTTATGTGCACGTACTATTAATTTAAAAAAAAATTTTAATTGTATTCCCGGTAAAATGTTTGGTTGAAATGTTCACTTGTCATCATGGTAAGATAATCCTTTTCGAATACGAAATAAAAAAAATACCACCCCACAGACGTTAGAATAAAAGCAAGGATGAAGGAAGAAAATAACGGAAATGGGATGTCTAGGTGAATTTATTCACTGAGTGACATGTATTGTATGGTTGGGCGATAAGTATGAGTAATACTTGCTACAAGACGAAAAAAGATAAACTTTAAATATTGGAAATAAGTTAAATAAGTGGATATACTATTGTGTATGTCTAAAAGTGCAGAATTGGTGATAAACACGTGTGTTCTATTCATTATGAAACGACGATGGATAAAATTGATAAGGTTTTTTCCGACGGTTATACAACATACGACTTACTTATAATAAATTATAATATAGTCAGTCCTTTTGTTATAAATTATCATTTTTTGTATTTTATGTAAGGTAAGTAGGTACTCTAAATAGTGATTGACCTTATTGAAAACTGTTTAGTATGCCTATTGCCTATTACTTAAAATATTTATATTATTTATCTAATTTAAATATATGAACTGAAATTTCAAGCTAAATAGATAATTTTGAAATTTACTTTATTACTTAATAACATTTTTTTAGTAGTTATCATATATTTTGAATAAACACTATTTTGGTTAGTCAAAAATTCAATAGACAAATTTATTATAGTGATGTCGATATATTATAAACGTATTATGCAGATTATAAGTACCAAATAGGTAGAATATAATGCATATACATTATACATGTGGTATATTGTATATGTATGTATATAATATGGAATAACTTAAAGTCCTCTGTTTTCGAGTGATATTAATTTCATCATTTTGGATCCATCATAATCGGACATCACAGGGTGTTCGATTTTAATTAAGACGAGTGCGCGTGGTGGAGGATGCGTGTGCAAACAAACCGTATTGGAAAATAACCGATAAACATTCGAGTGAAAAAGGCAGATCAAACTTTGAAGTAAGGGACTATTGGCTTCACTGTTACTGTCGTCGTTAATTCAAGTCAGTTTATGTGCGGCTAATTAAGTGTCTTTCTGGATCAAGAGGTGATTTTTGGTGCTTCAAAGTCTTAGCGATATCTCTCCCCTACGACCACGACATTTTTACATTGAAAAACTTCTCATTTTATCCCCACGAGCCGGGCAGACAGGGTGGTATTACTTATTTATTATTTTTCGACGAAACGAAACAATCCATTATCGGTATTCCCGCATATCCGATGACGGAAACGATGAGGTATAGATACGACGAAAGTTCACCACTGGAAGAAAGCGATTATGTTGATATTTATACAAAAAAAGAAAAATACATAAAAAACGATATATTTAAATATAATATATGGAAATGGAAATGGAATTTAAATCCACGGAAGGTGCAAACTCAGAGCGTGAACGACGGACGAGAGTTATGTAGTGGTAGTTTTAGTGGTGGTGTTGGTGGTCGTGGTGTTGAGCTCTAGATTAAAGAAATATTAATTTTTATTTCTCTCTTAAACACGCACGTGCTATATTTGCGAAAGGATAACGCATTATGTTTTCACACGTAAACTCGTTTTGTTTCCACATTGTTTATTATGTACATTGTACATATATTGTATTCCGCTTTGAATACATCGGTTCGACTCTATATCAAGACACACGTGTAGATTTGAAAATGCAGAGGTATATCAACGCAACCACCCTTGCCAGGCCTATTTTGCCGCTGTCTATGAAGTGAGTCGATTTATTATTAGACAATCCTTTTCACCCCACCCCTTGATGTTTTGAGTCCTTAAGCCATCAAGTTATGCAAGCACCAGCATTTTTCTCCTGCTTCTAAGATAAATGTACCTTATACGTGGTTTGTTTTTCTAAATAATATCGCTGGAATATATTATTTGCCCACGTTATTGTAATACGTTATCGATATGATCGTATAGGTAGATATTGATCCGATGTAATAAATACATATACGATGTAATGTCCCGATGAAATTAAAAGTTTTCCAGAACTTACTCACAGCACAAATTCATATTTTTAGTTGATAAGCGATGGCTTAAAAGATCAAGAATATAAGTTGTGTATTAATTTTGTTAGTTTCTAGAAAGACATATCCACACCTTGGTTCCCTATCCTTTTAAATAACCATTTAGAGTAATTTGAGTAGTTAAAATTATGTCTGTATAGTTAAAGGGTGTGTAGTGGTATGGTGTAACCGAATGAATAATTTGTTAAATTCGATTATAAGTTAGAGTTAGGTATAAGAGAGTTTAGAAATTACGTAATGAGGCGGTGCATTTAATATTTTGCCAGTGTAGTAGTACATACTATTCATTAGCATACATATCACATACCTTGTACTTGGTTAATATTATCATAAATTATCAATGCTATTATAATTAATTACAAGTAGTGGCGCATTAGGAAGTGTGAGTGACTGGGGCGATTGTGGGAATGCCCAAGGCTCCAAATTTTAGAGGTGGTAAAAATTAAATATCTACCTAGTGATCCAAATATCCAGAGTTGTGATTATGTAAATATTTATTTGGTCAGAGAACTTATTGATTTTGAATATATCTAGTAGTATCGTCATTGAATAAGCCACTGTAATGGCTGTGTTAAATTTAAATTTAATGATAAATCATTATATATCTACAAAAATCGAGACTGTGTGCCATCCATTTATAGGTATATTTTATAATGACAATATTTAACTATTTTATCAACTTTCTTGAGCAATTTAATAAGTAGGTTAAATTTAAACCAATTGTAGATAAAATTGATGAATATATTATATCCAGCTACTATGAAATATTAATTATCATATGAAATTATATAATATAATATTATTATCAACATTTAACTGTGAACACCAATGTACCGATGTATGTAAGGTTTATGGTATAAAAAATAGCTTAAAATTAGCAAAGTATTTTTAAAAATATCATTGTGCATAGAAAATAATAATATACGTATAAATAACGACTAATGGTAGACTGACAAAATGTTTCAAATCTTTACAATTATTTTATTTTGAATTTCAATTCAATAACTAAAAACGTTATTACTTATTTATAAGTTTTTATGAATGAAAAGTTGTTAACTTATGTTCAAATATAAAATGTTTTCAAAATAAAAACTTCAAATCAAATGACTGTACAAAATTGAGACCGTACATTTTTAAATTGCTACAAGTGTAACTTTAGAGGAATATTTGAATTTTGCTTTTTATAAATCAAGTAAATACTAGTTTTTGTTTAAATATTTGGCATATTTTAAATGTATTATTCTATTTAATTTCTACAAAATATATACAATTTTATATGACGTATTAAATAAGAATCAGTTACAGAAGTGCAATTTTCACAAGGGGAGAAGACAGTAAAATGTTGACCTAGTCACCAAGGGACTATGAAATAATTTCTAAATTTGACAATGATTTCAAACATTTTTTTAAATACGTTGCTAGAGGAAAGTACATGATATACGTTATGGTTAAACACTTTACACTTATACGTATTAAACTTATAGTTATATATACATAACATGATATTATTATCTAATAATACATAATATAATAAGTAATATTATATATGTCGTTAGACTGCGGGGTTATGTTAGGTTCCGCAGTCTGTAGAAATTTCGTCATGTATTTACGAAAGTTGGTAAAAAAAAGCTTTCACGATAATTGTTTTCTAAGTTAAGACAACTTAATGACTTTTCTTGCCTACGAGATACGGCCGCAATTATCGCCAACCAATTAATTATGACGAAAACGATGAATAATGAAATATACACAATACACAAGACACTACGTTTATAGTTTATATACAATATACATATACATATACATATACATATTATATACTTTCAAGGACACCTTTATACTGCAAATTTTGTTCACAATTTTTAATTTTGAAACATTTTTTTAGACAACATTACAAAAAAAAATGTCACAGCATATATGGTAGCAGGTATACTGTATATTATGCAGGATGGTAAAAATAAACATTTAAATGAGATTGAAAAATCAATTATACACCCACTTGACGACCGTTAGCCGAGTATAGCAACGAAAAAGTGTCATTTTAACCTCACATAGTCACATGTCATAACGATTGAACGACAAGATGTGTTACCCTAACAGTAACAATAGGTATCTGAAATAAACATAGGTAATTTGAAAAACGTTTTTTCAGATATCAATACCAAATACTTAAAATTATCGTAGGATAGGACATACCTAATATACACACACAAATTTTATACTGCAATTGAAGAGTCTTATAATTACCTTAGTGGTTATATGATTATATACATACTTATATGACGTCGTGAAAACGGTTTATGACATTTATTGAGTGGTTGAAGGTGGGAAAAATATTGAAGGGGGACTATATAGTCACCAACAATTTCATTCCTTAACAACCATCGTCATTTCCATAACCTTCATTCAGTTTTTACCAAATTCTATATCTAACCAAATTGTTTTAAGGAGTCCACGAGGTCTAAACCTAATCATTTATTTCTTTCACATACCAATAGTTCATAAAAAGTTTGTGTTAATAGAATGTGAAAACCAATTTCCCCTAAGAAAAATACACATTTACCTACACACCTTGAAATGATAAAAAAAAAATAATTAAATTTTAGTTTTATATATTTTATTAAAAAGACAAATACAAATTAATTTGTATCGAATACCACGTAAATCAATTTCTTGTTAAGCGTACCCTAGATTTTAGAGACTTAAATTAAAGAGGATGCATAATGTTGCCTTAAATAAGAAAGAGCACTACACCTCCCTCCACCCACGCACTTGAACCACTACATTTATTCAATTAATTTCAATGTTTCCTTTTTTTATGATCCATGCAATGTCTATAAGGATATTTGTCATACTGTGTTTCAAAGCTGTTATTTTATTATTGGTATTATTTAATATCATCAGTGATAAAGATACCACAATAACCTGAATTGCTAGTAACCACTTTGATAACTAATATGCTCTAAAGCCCAGGTCCACAGCTATATCGTATGTTGTGTCGTGTCCAAAAGTTGAGAAATCTATAAATTACTCGGTTGGTCGTGATCAGTGAATGGCACCTCGATTAAAATGCCTACCTATCAGTATACGATAAAAGGCACACGCCACGATAGACGACGTAGCTGTGAATCTAACTTAACTTCGATCACACTTGAATACAATACAGGCCCTATCAATGTATATGTATATGTAGATGAATGAATATATTATTGAATATGTATATATTCAATATTCTCTATGTTAATAATTACTAATATCTATTTTTGGGTTATAATATTTAATTTACAACAACCGTGGTTATAAACAAAAATGCGAGCGAGAACATATTGAATTATTTGATATCAAACAAATTAAACATAATAGTGATTCCTTACATACGAGTAGAACATTTAAAGATCTACCTACGTGTTGTTGCTTTTATTATCATTATTATTAAAATTACATGAAAATATCATGTTAAAAGTGTGTGCGTGCGTGTGTCTGTGTCTATAGCGGTCGTAGACAGCGTTACGATAACGGACCAGAGAGTGCCGAGTGCTGTGCTGAACGGTACCGAGTACGTCGTATTGGACTGCGTGTACAAGGTGAAACCGGAAGAGGCCGAGGGGCTGGTGATCACGTGGTATTTCAACAATAGCCCCAGTCCTGCGTACCAGTGGATACAGGGACAACCACCACGGGCCATCGGTCCGCTGAAAAACCACATCCGGCTGGGCTTTGCTGCGCCCACCGACGACGCGTTGGCCAAGTACCGGGCTCTGTACATCATCCGGCCTACCACCGAGCTGACCGGCAACTACAAGTGCGTCGTGTCCACGTACAACGACGAGGACTTTATGATTAAGAAGATGATCGTTTACGGTGAGCGAACACTTTTAAGTTTTAATGCAATATCGTATATTTTAGACGGTGTGTGGCGGGCAGCTTACACTTTACACACCTAACAGTGACGAGGGGAGCGAGGGAGCCTTGTCCTAGAAATAAATCGAAAATTATTTGTGTATGGCTTGTACAGCGGAATTTAATGACTTCTAATGATCATCGGTAGTTGTGACAATTGCTGTACAAGAGCTTTATAGTTTGATAATACCTATGTATTATTGCATTCGAACACTATAGATCGTGGGAAATAGTTCGCTCGTAAATGTCGAAAATACAACAATTTTTGTTCCACTTATTGTTGTTTCCTTTAAGAATAGACAGAACAGGGTACCCTATGTAAATGCATGTTGTGAGCTTTATAATCATTTTATTTTTATTAATCTAATACATGACTCTTTATTCGAAAATGATTGAAATGCCTTCGTATTTTTCCCCCAATCGTATTTTTTCTCTGTGTAAGTACCTATATTTAAGGTCTGAATTCAAAAAAATCTTATTTTACTATTGTGTTCAAAAAAACGACTTCTTTTCAAACCGTTACAATGTGTTTAGCTACTCACCTTTACAATGATCTATCAGTTCCATTCGTTCCTAACACTCAATATATATTATAAATAATTTAAATAATGTTAAAAAAGTGCAAAAACCTTTTATTGCACTCTGTTAAACCATTACCTAGTAATTTGTAACCAATGATATCTGATACGAAAATGTAAACAATTTTAAATCTTTATACCTAAATTTAGTTGATGAACGTCGAGAAAAATTGAAAAGAAAAAAAAAAAATAATATGTAAAACATTATCATCTATAATTTATAAACGAGAATTACACAATTGTTGTCGTTTTTCTCATTTATTATATTTCTTTTACATTTCTTACGGTTTTATGTAAAAATACATATTTATTTAAGACAATCTTCAATCATATCGTTATTACGAATTCTATTTAACAACTCCCTATGTATCCTCTCCTCGGTAAATAATTACATTTTATTCTAGATAAAATTAATTTGGTTTTATTTAACTCGCTTCGAACAATCTCACGAGTGTGAGAAACAAATTTGAATTTTCAAACACTAAAACTATTTTATTTTAAGTAGGTACTTATATGAAGAGTCAACAAAATGCCAGTACATTTAATTTATCAAAATACTCAAATAGCGAATTATTAGCAGTAGGATTCCATCAATAAATAAAATATTTATTTCATTTTATTTATTAGACTTAATAACCTAATTGGCAATCACCCTATAGATTTTTTGATACTGTTCTGATATATGCCCTCAAATTATAGGAAGGAAAATTATTGTGTATATCTATTGACTCTAATATCACCTCATTATTGAAACAAAATAAATCGATAGTAAAAAAAATAATCGCCTCCAGAATTCCAAGAAATGGGCAAAATGGAATTAAATTTATTTTTCTTTTAATTAATTTCAGTTTTAGATTGGTTGGAATACAATTTATAAAGTTAATACATCGACGTATTAAATATATAATAATATGTACCTATTGCATTTAAGAAATATTATTGCTAGTAACAATTATTATACACAACAATATTGATAAGAACTATTTGTTTGGTATCTAATGGTTTTGTAATATAACAAAATATGTATGTATTTATCATGGACGCTATGGTTAAATATTTTATTTTGGACGAACTATTGAATTTAATAATAATAACTTAATGATTATTAAAAAATATCAAATATAAAACATGATTAAATATTTGTATGTTCATCCAACAGTAAATAATAGATATTTTTTTTTTTTTAATTGAAGTTTACAGTCACAAAGCTAAGTATTAACATATACATTATTTCAGTATGAAACTCAACTACTTTAATACCTATAATTTACGATTAACTAAATACAATGTCATTTCATGACTATTTATCAATTTTTTTTAAATGCTTAAAGTGAGGTTTCTTTAATCTGAAAACTAATAAAATTAGAATTTAAGTTGGTTTCTGAAGTTCCCCACAAGTATAACTTATGTTGATAGAAATTAGTTCGTGAAAACAATAACTTGAGTTTAAATTTAAGTTAGAAGTTGGTTTTTCATTGGAATTTAAAGCTTTTAAAAATAAATTAAGACCCCATTCGTTCAATTGTAAAGTATATAAGTATTACATTAAACTTATAACTATCTAACTAAAATTACTAAATTGATTAATATTGAAATGAATACGGAAATGGCAGTACATTATTGTGTAGTTCAGCAGCATTTTAACATCGGAAAAATATAATTTTATAATCTCCAATGCAATGTGGTTTAAGCTATGCGTTATAAGAAATATATTATGAGAAACAATTTTCCTTTCATCATAAAATAATATTTTATACGATTAGTTTTGAATTAAAAAGTGTCACGGAACATTGGGATTTTTGCAGTGATCACAAAAATAATAACTAGTTACCTACTAATTATTATTTGTTTTCAAGGCATTACATTTTATAATGTCATGCATTCAATTCAACTCGCTACTTTAGAAATTTATTATGAATTAAGACCAACTAGTGAAGTTAGAAAGTTACTTTGCAAGTAACTTTTCAACATTCAACTTAGCTTTAACTTTCATGTAGTTATTTGATACTACTCCCCGGCTCTGCGGCATTTGAAAATATTCTAGGATTGTGTATAATTCCACGATCTTTGAAGAATTGGACACTATAGATGGGATGTCAGTAATAGTAGATGTTAAACTTATAAAACTCATTGCTCACCTTCACACTTTTCGGCTTACGGTTACATGCGTGCCTACTGAACCCGACCTTCAAATGAAATTACTCAACTAACTATACGACTTACCTCTCTAATTATGATTCTTCTAAAACAACTAACAAAATAAAATTTCCCAAACAACAATAAAATATATAGTGAAGTGTATTGTGTAAATCTATATCATCTATATAATATACTATTGCACGCTTTAGTAATTGGGGAAAAGGGTGACGTATAAAAGACGTGTACCTATGTTTTTATTGTACGAGTGTATATACTCGTTAAATATTGAGATATTTTATTAAAATTCGTTTCTGACAGATTTTCAGAAATGATGAATATAATATTGTTATAGCGTATTCACCCATTCAGAATATCAAATCATATTGATATTGTTTTCGTATGAATTGTATAATATATGTATTATTTAAATTTAATTTTAAATAACGACTCTTGCAAACTACATATCATATATCCATATATACCATACTGTCGTACTATGGATCATTTACTCTTTTAATTCCTAACTAGAAATTGACGAAAACAATATAACATAATGCGACATTGATATATCCGAGTGACTGAGTCTCTATACTTGTGTTAATAGTTAATACCCTTGTAAACGTAACGTATTGTATACAATTTTCAGGATAAAGTGTATCCACTCTATCCACTCAGTTATACTTTATATTTATCAGTTCATCACTAATGATTAATAGTTTATCTGCACGATGTTCCGAAATTGTCATAATTTTAATATATAAAGGATAAACTTGTATATTTGACACTCTAGTGTATTTTGTATTTTGTATGTACTCCGTAATTCAATACCTAATCAAAGTAGTACCGTTAATGACATAAACATGTTTATATATTTTATAACATGATTTGGAAATGAAAGACGGTTTTATTGTGTGACGTCCGGGAGATCTCAGAGTCGTAAACCTGGATTTCTCGGGTGACATGCACGACTACATGATAAAGAACTTTTATTTAGATGATATGTAGATATGTGACACCCTGCAGTATGTGCATATAATTTGAGCTTTGCGTCTTTAAAACTAAAAAAAATTTTTAAATAATAACTTTTATTTTAAAGAAAAAGCATTGACTCTTCTAATTGATTGTATCCACAGTAAAGTTTATGTAATCAATTACCAATTTACTTGGCCAACTAGCTGTATTTTCAGCTGGGTCGCGTTCCGCTATAAAATCGCATCAGAGTTTGAGTGAAGCGATAAATGTTTTAGATTGTACAACTAATAAGGTACATATAGGTATGTGTTTTTCATTTGATCGTAAACAGTGTTATAAAAGTCTTATGGATAGGGGAACCGACACAAATAATCGTATCGAAACTTTTAAGAGTTTTGCAATCATGCCTAAAAACAGTGCGAGATTCGATGTGTTTGAGTGGAACTAAAATAATATAATAGATACGAGTTTTATTAAAATTATTTTTTTGATGGCGAGTCTTCTCTGATCAACGGATTATTGTGCTTTTTAGATGCGTGCTAACACAAACCATATATTATATTACATACTACCCGAAACGGAAGACTGCGATGATGAGATTTCACGTGCAACGTCAACAACTAAACGTTTCGGCATCAGCTCTCCCAAACATCCGTGATAAATTGACAGTACATGAACACTGGCGAGACGCCCCAGAATTCGAGCACCGATTAAATATCGAAGTCCGAATAAAATGTGTGCTATATTATTATATAGGTAGGTATAGGTTAAAACACGTATCGCGGTGTCGGAAGCTCAGGAATTCTCCAAAGTTGACGGGGAAATCTTACGATTTCGATTAGACTTGCTTGCGTATACCACATTATCACTGCACCGTGTGTACATATATATATATGTGTGTGTGCGTGTGTACCGTGTACGGCATAGGTCATTCGATCGGAATTTCTTGTTATTTTAGCTATATATATATATAGACGAGCGTGGTAAAACGTGTATACATGTACACTGCAGAGTCGACAATGACGACGACGGTTGGATTTGTTTTGGGGGGAACAGAAGGCTTCTGCTGTGCTGCTGCTGCTGTAGCCGTCGCCGTATCCGCTGTTGCCGTCCGCTGCTGCTGCCGCTCCTGCTGCACGGTAGAGTGTTGTTTTCGATTACAAGCTAAAACGTTTGGTTACTTTCCTCCCGAATTTTTGATTGATGGTCTTTTTTGACGTGTGAATCATTCACACTCGCGCCCGTTGTACACGCGATACATAGTCATAAATTGTTATATAAGCTTATGTACCTACGTACGACGCGGGGGGTGACAATTTTTTTTAAGCCACATCGGACGTAGATGGATAAGCGACGACGGGACGCCGCCCCTCGTGTACGTCGGCGGGTGTGCGCGTAGCGGATACTCGCAAGATAGATTATGTAAAAAATGAAATAAAATAATAATAATGATAAAAGTAAGAATAAACACGCGGACCCGTGAAATACCCCGAGGCATATACACATGATACGCGCGAACGGTCATATTATCGAGGTGGTCCGCCGGATGACGGGTGTGTGCGATTTCGGGGAGGGGGGGGGGTGAGTCCACCCCTCCTGCGATCCGCCAAAGTTAACGCCAATAAAGTAATGCATTTTTTATTAACGTATTCGATCAAACGACGCGAACGTCTGTTATCGTGTTGAAGGGGCAATTGCAATTAAAGTGTCATGTATTATGTAATATTAAAACAAAGTCTGTTAATTTTGAATTTTATATTATGTATGTAATTTAACTGCAAATATTATATTTTGTATTGTAACGAACGTTGGAATTACGTATAACCTGACATAGTCATGGGATAATACATATTACATGCCTATTATATCATCATACTATGATATTATATTTTAACTATTTGGACAATAGTAATTTGTGATGATAATAATTATCTATTTCTATTATTTTTGTAATTTAAACATACTACATATGTAGATAAACTGCTACGGGAATATTGTGTAATTTCTTATCTATACTCAAATGGTAATTACTTATTTCATATTTGGTAAGTATAAAATATCATATTAAAATAAGTTTTTGGTCAAAATTGTTTGATCTATGACTGACGGTCCTTCAGAGGTACCATTTGAGTTTTATATAATAGGCGTGCTGACTTAAGCAGGCCAATTTTTATTTCATCGTCACGCCATTTGTTTTTTTTTAAATATAGACAATTATGCAAGTATTGAATATAAGTACGGCGAGTGGTTCAAGGGTTGTATATTTAATTTTTTAATATTTAAATAAATCAAACCAATTGGAAAGTTGGAAGTGCATTGTCACGCAATAATATAGGTATACATTGTACAACTATAAATAATAAATATTAATTACCTCCGTAGATACGTATTAAATATTATACGCATTATGGTTTTCATAATATATTTTAACTTTCAGCTATCGGCGCTTTTGTTTAACTGTGTGGCATAAGGCGCAGAAAAAAAAGAGGTGTGTAAATACATAGATTCGTGTGAGCTCCGATAATAAACAAAATCGTGCTATTAACAATGATTTAAAAAAAAAAAACCAGTACCTAGGTAATAATTTCGCAATAATATTATTTTCGACGATTTTAAAACCAAATAATCAAGTATGGGCAGTATGGTCTTGTCGAACGTAGAAGTTTCGAGTTAAATAATCATAATTTTAACCAAGCATTGTGGCGTAAGGTTCAACAATTCTGCCTAACAATAGAAAACGATGGAATTAGGAAAATAGTATGCATCTGTGCAGCCTGCCACATATACCTATATTATATTGTATATTATAGACGAAGAATGGGTGAATAATGAATATATACTGCATATTATTATAATGGCTGAAACTCCTAAAAATCAGAAAACTGAAAACTTTTTTAGATTATTTTGTAATCCAGTGGAGGTAAGGATTGATATAATATTATATGATCAAATAGCACTCATGCGGCCATCCTCAAAAATCTAAAAGTTTTAAATGCTGACGGAAACGGTGTTGTGCATTGGTATTATATTATTCACGCACAAGCATCGTCTTTACCCCTAATATTGTCTATTGATGCCTACTTAGGTACTTACGACTTATCCACTGTTTGTTTTCCGTTTCACAGCTCCTGGCCAACACATGCACATGAAACGCACCAAAGCCAACGACCAAGACATGGTGAACATATCTTGTACAATTTCCAGAGTATTTCCTATGCCCAAGATGCAACTGTACAAGCTCGAAACAAATGGAACGCAAAACAGGTAAATTGCATAATATTTTTATAACAAAAGTGAACATAATTTACTTACAGTCATTTTTAAATTATTATTAATCGCAATAGAAGTTTTTATTTACCCGTATATACCTAGAGTAGAAAAAAACTGTCGCTTATTGGAATTTAAAATATGATTTCAGTTGTAGCCCAAAAGTGACTAATAAACTAAAATATTCATAAATATTCTATTATATAGTACATTTAATTTAAATTCTTGAATTCAAAACGTTCAAACTTTATTTTAGATAGCATATTTAATGGTTGTTTAAATTAATAGTACCTGTCTATAAATATCTATACATAAATATTCTAGTGTTCATTAATAATCTGCTCTGTCTAGACTTTAAATAAAATACCTAAATGGTTAAATTATATAAGAATTAATTTTATCCTTTAAACGACGAAGAGGAAGTACACATACGAAAAAAGTGAAACTAATAAATATTGGTGTATTCAATTCAAATTATGAGTATATTCATGAAAATATATAACTAGGTTTACCTATAATTAAATTGTTTTAGTTTTTCTGAAACGTAGTTTTAAGTACAAACATTTTGTTTCAATATAAAATATCTGTTTTTAAATAAGAATACAATTGAGGTCATTCTATTTGTGAAAACCTGCCGAATTTATATAAATTATACATTTATAAAGTTCCGAGGTATCTACATTACTTTTTTCAGTAATAGTAAGGTTATTCTTGAAACTTGCTGCCTATTACTATACTATATACTAGATACCTATATATAATAGGTATATAATGTATATACTATATACTACGTGTATAAGTTAAAACTTCTCTTAAAACTATTATATAGCTTTTAAAAGTTAAAACCCAGTCTCCAAAACAAAATACAATATAGATAATTATAATTTTTTCTGATTAAATCCTAAATCAAAATCCTGATTTCATATTGTTTTGATCCTTTGATTTTAAAATGTATTTCACCGGGAACTTTAAATTATCTAGGTTATGAATAAATTGTAATTTTTATTTTTCAATTTTATTATAGCTATATCTTAAAAAAATTAATAAGTAAATTTTAATTTTCAATTTTCTAAGAACCTCCGAGTTCAGGTATAAATAATTATTCGACTTGTTTGAAAAGAACTGTAAAATTGTAAAACTACACCATTATAATATCTCAGAATAATTAAAAATATAAAAGAATAGAATAGTGGTATATTTACTTTGCGGCGAAGAAAGACTAATTCAGATCGAAAACTATAATACAACTGTAATAATACTATTAACACTATATTAGACTTATATTATTATTATTAAATTACATGGTTTCAAGAAATTTAAAATTGATTAGCTACTGGGTACTTGGGTGGAAACTTAACATTTACAAAAAATTATTATTAATAACTTATCAATTACGATAACCTTTCCAATATCCTTATTATTAAAAATTTGGGAGCTCGCTCTGCTGTGTGGTAAGTAGGTGTTGATAGACCTCATCTTAAGTATGTCACTGTAAGGGATGTGTTGAAATTTAATTTAATGAGAAACTCTTGTGTACAATGAAAAAAAAGTTTGATCAGAGACCGTCTGTCAGCCTATATTTCCAACGATTTTTTATTATATATATTTATATTAGTAATTTTATAAGTAATTTATTTTTCCATTGGTAATACGTGAAATAATGTTTACCTAAAACAAACCGAACGTGTTGTAGGTATAGTAATTTAAATAATTTTATTTCAAATAATGTTAAGAGCTGGTTTTAACTTATAAATCAATACTGACGTATCAGAAAACGGTGTGAATTGGTTCGTAGTATAAATAGCTTAAGTGAATAAAAATATTTTGAAAACTGCATTGTGTATTGTAAATAATAATATACGCAGTAACCGTAAATTCTCTAAAAGTTTCTATAAATAATATATATTAAATAACACGAATTTTAGATAATTAAAAACATTATTTTTCGTTTTAATTTCCAATTTCGTAGAAACTTGAACTTGAAATGTCTATAAAAAATAAATACTTGTGCATTTGTACATTTAAGACTTTAAGTTTTCTGTGAAAAAAACTTACGAGGAGCTTTGTTTTACATTTTTCAGTCCTTAGATAATTAGAAATTGCATAAATTTCTATCTACAAATTATGTAACTAAATATTTTCGTGATTTTAATGAATTTCATAATAACTTGAAATTTAAACTCTTAAATAAAATGTCAACTATGTACTTTCGATATTTTTTTAATCGCTATAATATAAACTTATAAGGAATCTTAAATTAAATTTGGTAGCTTTTTTATTCATACACGAAAATTGTATTCTACAAAAATCGAGCATTTTTATTATTTACAACCCAGACCAAAGAACTAATTGGATCCAATTCACTACCAGAAACCAAGATGACCAATTTTGCTACTCCCAAATGTGGCAAAACATACAAAAAAAAAACATAAATCATTGTTAAACGAACACATTCAACGTTCTGCTATTAATTTAAAACTATTCATGTGGTTTGCAAAATGTATTTAATTTTCATACAAGTAATATTATAAATGTGAATTTAGAAACAGATTGTGTAAATCAATTCAAATCATATGAGTCTTAGGACTGTACTATGTAGGTACAGTACATAAATTAATTTTCCCCAACATTTTATTTGTTATTAATTGCTAATGGGTTTATTTGTCTATATTAATATTTATTTTCCTTAATATTTTGTAGTTAATTATTACAATTACAATTTATTAATATGATATAATCAACTTGGTAACGATGATAATTATTATGATTATTCTAACCCTTTGTATATATAATAGTTATAATAGTTATATACATAATATATCTTATATGTACAACCTATATACTCATTATCTCCATTGTTGTTGTAAAGACGCGTTATTATTAGTTCATATTTAAATCCCTTTACTCAGTGCTATTAAGCATTACGCAATAAACCACATGGTTACATCATTAATCAATTTAATATTCTCTCTCATTTCAATTGGATTCTATCTGCACTTACTTAAAACCATAAATAGATCATTGTAGTCATTGTACAAACATAATTAGAAACTATTTAATCTTTATAATATTATGATCAAATCTAAAATGAAATAATTTCCTAGTTGCCTTAGAAGTACGAGGTATAGTAGGTAGGTTGATTTTAGTATCCCGTAAAAAAATGTAAACATAATTACAAAACAAAAAAATAGCAGTGTTATTCTGAAACGATAAGTAAGGGAGGCTACTTATACAGTGGACGCCGCTTATAAGACTCACGGATATAAGGTTCAGTCGCTTATTAGACTCAAAATTGTCTGAAACGATCCGGACGTATTCAAATACGTTATAGAAAATACGGTTATAAGACTCAACAATTCGTTTATAAGACTCAAATTTTGTAAAAAAAAAAATGCTAAAAAATTTAGAAATTAATTAATGTTTTTTGCTTTATTATGTGTGTATGTACAACAAATTGTATCGTCTTTCACATTTTCCAATATATTTCCGGAATATTAGTTTATAACTAAAAAAAAACGAAATCACAATTTTTTTTCATAAATAATAAATAGGTTCATTATACATACATCTTTTATAATTTTTTATTAATGCATATAATCATTTTTTACATGTATTATAATTTTAATTTTTTTATCAGAATTTTTTGAATTTATTCAATAATACGTATGTCATATGTAATACCTATGCATTAGAGTATTAAAATTAAAGAAAAATATGTAGTAAAATAAAATTCATAAATATGTAATTAATTTTTTCCCCACTTCGCCTAAAAGATTCATTCGGTTATATTTTTTGTGCTGGTCCCAATGTGAGTATTATAAGCGGCGTCCACTGTATCATTATACTCTCCATATTTTAAAATTAAATGTCAGTTTTTAATTTTGTTATTATTCATAGATTATGTTAGAATACATACGTTTTAATACTTTATTCAAACCATTAATTTTTTTAAAATATGACAGTGTCAATATTCTTATAATATACTTATAGTTTGCACTGAATTTCCTACTAAAAATTTATTGTATGTAATATTACATATTTTTATTATAATAAAACCAACTATTATTCGGTTCGTATAGGTACCTATAACAATGTAGTCAATCTCATCGTCTCACGATAAGCTACATAGGTAGTATATAAACTCGCTTAAAGTGAGTCGCTCTGTAGTGCCTGTATACATTCATAACAGTACTTCATACAAAATAAATACAAACGATGGAAAACCAATGTCCATGCTTACACAAAGAGAAACTGAGAGTTAGAGAAACTATAAAAGTAAGATATATAAGACAAGTTACTGGTAAAACTCAAGAACTGCATTTATATTGTTTAGGATATTGTTTATATTCTAGGATTTTATTTTTTTTTCTGAGGGGGGGATATACTCAACAGTTATTCTTGTAGACGTTTTTGGGGGAAAAAAATGCCGCTAAAAAGTGGAAACGTCCAGACAAAAGTCGGTGGACGATAAATCATGTCACCGCTTAAGTCTTCGGTTGACCGAAGATGTAGCAGCAGCAGCCTGCAATAGTTCACATATTGATGAGATACGCCCCCCTCCATCCGCATGCGTTTTATAAATTGTCGTAACCAATCATATACGCTTGGAAAATCGAAAACACACAACAGCAACAGACTACTGTTTTGGGGACGCGAAATACGACTACTTACAATAAGTAATTTTCACACCCTCGGTATTTTGCAGGCTTCCACAACTGTGTCGAGTAAAAATAAAAACTCCTTATTAGATCTCTATTATATTTGTAAATATTGTTTCAACTTCAGAGCCGCCATATCACAAGAAAAAATATGGCCCGTTGTTTCGAAGGTTTAATTTTTACCGTCGTTAATAACTCGGTCCCTTCGAAACGTTTTTTTTTTTTTATCTTTCGTTATTCGTTCGTAATTACTAATTACCATTACTGCCTAATTAACTTTTCCTTATATTATGTAATATACAGTATACCGCGGAGGTGGTCCGTGATGTTAATTTCTCCAAGGCGTCAGTTATAATATCGACGAAAAAAAACCGTTCCACTTTTATCGAATATTGACATATTGAACTTATATTATTATATAATATTGTTTTCTTAGGGATTATTATAATAATTTATTGTTCGTCGAATTCAAACTATGTATAATATTACATAAGAACTATGGATTTTCTTCTTAAAAAATAACTCTGTATTCTTGTATGACTGATCGTCTTTCACAGAATTTATACGCTAAATCTACCTCTATTATTTTTCCTCAAACTAATAATAATGGTATTATTATGATCCATATTTTATTTTGAGCTTAAAAAAAGTGTCGGTCGAGTGGCTTAACCAATTCCAAAAATCATTTTATGGTCACGATGAATGTCATTACAATTTTTACTGAGCTCCACATTATAAAGTCAAATACCTATTAATAAACGTGAATTTGATCAATAAAAATATTATTATTATTTTTATTATTATTCAACACATTTATGATAATAAATAAAAATTATTTTGTAATATTTTGTTATATTAACAGTAGTTTTATTATTGTATGTTATTCTACATATTAGTCATGTTTTTAGTTATTTGTAATTTCCACGATAGCTTAAAATTCATATTCATTTTTTCTAGAAATTCTGAAAGCTTTTTAAAACAGTCAAAGTTTTAATCGACCAACTTCTATAGCAATTTGAAGACCCTCAGTATTATGACTGTATCTTGTCTCAACAATTTTTCAACAAAACTTTTATTAATTTAATTTTGTTGAATTAATTTTTAAATGAAGAAAATTATGTACAGTTTTTTTCATTTCATTTCATTTATTTATTTATGTTATATTTTAATTAGTTCAAAACTGTCATAAAAAATATATTTTTAACTCTATTAGTTATTAACCTAGTTGGGTTAAATAAATGTATTCTTAAATTGTTTTATTTTGTTATGTACCTACACTTAGTGACCAATACATTTATCTATAAGTAATAGGTATTATATAACTAATTTTCGTTACATAAAAATGCTTAACGACTAACAAAACTGAGGAACAATGCAGTAATCCCTTGCTCAAGTACAGTATTGCCATTTATCTTTTTTTTTGAACAAATTAGCATTTATATAAATACCTATTGAATTTTTCCCCAAATTCGTTTTTTTCCATAAAAATACAATGTAAACATAAAAGGAAATATAGAACCAATTATTTTATTGAATTTGAGATAAGTACCCCATTGAAATGAAATTGTCAGTATAAACAAGCGGATTACTAGTTATTACAAATTTTATTTGAGTAACAAAAAAATATCGATGTTAGCAATTTGTATAACAAGATTGTTTAGATTGATGAGTTGAAAGTTCTATTAATATAAAAATATTTCCCGAAAGCCTTTCTTAAAGTAACAAAACACACTGTGAAAACAAAAATCAAAAGTTCAAAACTCCCATATTAAGAATAGTAAGACTAAACAAAGAGCGTGAAAAAAGACACTTGTAATGTGCATCATCTGTTATATTATATTTTCCTTGATATCTTAGCTTTTGTTGAGATGTTTCAATCTCAAGTTTAAAATATAATAAAGATACGATAAAACAATTTATAGGAACTCATTATATAAAAACATATATTTTTTCAATGAAATAAACACATATATAATATAAACATTGCCCTAAGTATTATTTAGGTCTGAATGCCTGACATTTGTAAATCATTATCGCATGCAATCTCAAAAGTTTGAAGTTAAGGTGATGATGATACAGTTAAGTTGAGTTCAAAATTAGAATAATTGCATTAAAATATGTATTTTTATATTTATAATTTTACCATACCTATTTGACGCCTTAAAAGTAGACATAAAGGATACTATCATCTTCATATCATTTATGCAATATACATTATCTATTTTATATTTTAATATTTCAAATATAATATAATATTGTCGTCCATTGAATGTATTTTAATTGTAGCTTATGGTGAATATTTTATTTAAAAAATTATCAGATATTATACTGTTATTGCCTTTGGTGTACAGAACAATTCGTTTGATTTCAGTTTGAAATTACGATTTGATAAATTGTATCCATTGATTGATTTAAAATGGGAAATATACGTTTGATATAATTATTTTGTTGTTTTTTTTAGAAACAGTTCTTTGCCTATTGAGATATTGGATTATCAGAACGATGGCGCATTTGATGTCACAGTATCGACGTTGTTCTCCGAATCCGAATTACCATCGCGAACAACATTTTTTTGCGAACTCATCATACCTAGTACTCCATACAGTATCACAAAACGATTCGTATTTAATCCTGGTAAGAAATATATAAACAAATTATAAAATTGTAATAATTGTTTACAAGCATATACCGATTTTATAGACAAAACATTTTATTAACGAATTACGATTTACGAGCCTCACATATAAACTCAATATTCGGGGGGGGGGGGGGGGTTGTGTTTACCAGTGCCTATTTGTGAGTTGTACAAAAAAAAAATGTTTAAACTAATCGAATTCATGTTGATTATTTAATTTGTTTGTCACTGTTTTTGATTAAAAATAAAATAAATCTTGACATGAGTACATGACAAATATTAATAGTATACACCATAATGAATATAGGTCATATTATTTAATATTTATTCATTTGGTCAAGCATAAGTAAAAAGTTGGAACATTTCAAGTGAACTATAGGTACTCTAAAATACAATATTTTTTTAATTCAAAAACTAGTTTGGGTAAAGAAAATATTCTTGGATTTATTTTAAAATCTCATTAAAAACAAAATAAACAATAAATGATAATCATATCTACTCCAAGGGTACTAAATGGTATACAGAACAGTTTATTGTTTATTTTTTGGTTTGATTATTAAAATGGAGTATCCAAAGACAACTATATAGTCTATATATAGTCCATTCTAATTTCTAGTGTGCAACTTTTGATATTAATAACTTCCAAGACAAGACAAACGTATTGATTTTAATGTATTTAGTTATTATCAATAGAATATGAATTTTCAAAGTTTGTTTTGTGAAAATAATGATTTATTTGTCATCAATGATTCTTGGACAAGCGATATTGTCTAATCTCTTGCGAATTAAATTTAACGTTTTCATAAAATGAAAATGAAAAATATTGACTTTGGTGTAATGTTATATTATGACTTTGGTGTAACGCTGTTTGAATAGCTATATTGTGTAAGTACCTTTATATTTATATGTTATATATTGCTTAGCTACTATAGACAATCGAAAAAAAAAATTCCAATAATAATAACATAGTACTTATGTATTACTCCCAACGAGTAAATAAAAATCTTTTAATATTATTATTTTTTATTTGTATTTCGTCCAGTTGTTGTCTTTTATCATATTCCATACAAATATAGTATGTTTTAGGTAAGTATCCCGTTGTGTAACATAGCCAATAGGAATATTACGTAAATAGAGGACTTCACGAATAATAAGAATTAAAATAATAATAACATCGACGTTCACAATAAATAATAAATAACACATAATACACCGTTTGCCGGAAACAACTAATAGTGAATTAATCTCATTCACATTATATTTAAACGCAGTAGGTAGGTACATTAAAATGCGATCCTTGGATTTGTATTTACCAAACAAAATGTACAAACGCGCATGCACTAAGCACACGAATACTCTCCCACTCGCTTACACAAGATGAAAGCGTTATCAAGAGTCACAAACTATTCAATCAATTTCGGAATCCGAAATAGTATCCGGCCTAGGACGTTACGAATTTTGTATAATAATAATATATTATATAATACAGGTCCCATACAATAGAAATAATTGTGTAAACAAGTAATTTGTTTAATCGTTTTAATTGTTTTGCGCCCTCAAGACGGAATTTGTAATTATTATTCAGGAAAACTTTAAATTCGCGATCGCGAGAAATATCGTCGGAAAAACGGGCAACCGAAATTTCGCGACGGAAACGCAGACGGCGGCGCGGCGGTATCTCTCCCGCACGGTGGCGCGGATGAGGGCAATGTGAATAATATAATAATAATATATTAAAGTACCCTACCTCTATATAATAATATACAATATACACGCATATTATTATCATATTAAACATGTATCATACACGGATACACGCGTATATGACAAAAATATATCGTAAAATATTCCGAGTGTTTTCCGTATATATACACGGGGTAATCTACGTTTGCGTGTATATATATATATATGTGTTATTATATAGCCATATAGGTAAGAGTATATTATTATACTTACGGCTCGTATTATATGTACCTGTATAGTGTATATATATATGTTGGTAAATATTTATGTACAAAAATTGTATACTAAAGTATATTATCGTGTGTGTATACGAAACATCCATGTTCGCTTTCGTGAAAACCGACCTTATAGCGATCTCAACCACCAAAGTATCCAGTATACCTACTACGCGCAGTTTATTCCCATTTTTATTTTGTTTATCTTTATTTTTATTTTTATTTTTCTAGGTCAGCAATCGTAGTGACACGTGGTTAATACACCTTACACAATACACGCACACACACACACACACACACACACACACACACACTTATGTACTGGAAAGTTATAACTGTCCCCCGGGGACGGTTGCGGTGGCGGGATCCGTCGAGGCGGCGATGGCCCGGTGCAAATGGTTTTGCAAACAGTTTTGCCGGTATGACGTGTTTAATCTTCGTACATTTCGTTCACCCGCGTCCCGCAAAATAAGATCCGAACGTCGAGGCTTTATGGAGTTGGGCATTTCCCGGTCATATAATGTCCACGAGCGCTTGAATGGGAAGGGAGAGGGGAGATGGGCCGGAAGAGGATATTGCTTTCGCGACTCTCGCGGGAACGTCGAAACGTATTAGGCGCGAGCGACTAATTCTTTTTCGTTTCTGAAAGAGGAGAGGATGCTCAACGCAGAGTGAGACAAAGACAGAGAGAGAGGGAGGAAACAAAATAAAAAACAAACATTGTAGAATCGCTTTTCCAGCACGCGGCGGCGACACGCGCATAAATCCCCATAACAATAATAATGATAATCCGAATATTACGTGCGACGTAATACCTCCTCATATACTGTTAGTCTCCTACATCCTGGGATAAGCGAGATGGGACTATAATATTATCTATACATCGGTGCTTTACTATTACCACAACTGGAAATTTGAATTTCATATTCAATGTCGTTGTACATTATACTAATGTTACGTTTCATGACCAAAATATTAAGGGGACAGACCACAGACTTAAATTTACGCACACTGTGCGGTGGCACACAGAAATTATTCACTAAGTATATTCATATTATTACATCGAGCGATCCACTTAACGACAGGTACTCATAAATTAATACATAAGAAAACATTGAAACGTTTTTGAAAATATTTTTTTTACACAATTTTAAGAAATTAAAAAATAACATTTAGAAAATTTGTTTTTGATTAGGTATCTATTTTTTAGCATTATCAATTTTTTAAATTTTTTTAAATTTTTTTAAAAAAAAAAAAAAATTTTAAATTAATAATAAAAAAAAAAAAAATTTTTAGAAAAAATTAAAAAAAAAAAAAAAAAAAAAAAATATAACTATGGCTTAAATGTAATTAATAATAATATATTATTGACAATTCGTGTTTTATTTTAAGAATTAGGATTGCAATTTAATTATTATTTTACTTAGAATTATTTTTCTCCAAATAATTAAGCCAATCATTATATTTTTATGCACCATAATAAACATCTTGTTAGTTCAAGAAAGTTCTTTCGTTGTTCAAATATATTTCTGTTTTAACAGACAACGACGGACAATTTATTATTGTAATTTAGAAATTGTTATTATTATTGTAATTCGTGAAATTAAGAAACTAATTTTATCTAATAAATAATGTAAGACTCCATTATTAGATGTGGACTGGATTCTCAAACTGTGCAGGTTTTCAGGTATAGAAATGTAGGGTACTGAATGCACAAATACCTAAAGATAGTTTTAGTCTATTTAGTTCTAAATTGTCCATAGATCCTCGACCAATAATCGGCAGTTATAAGTTTTTTGTATATTTTCTAATTTCTAAATACTTGAATATTTTACTATTTCGATACATACAGTTAAGAATTATAATTTGTGTAGCTAACAATATTTTTCCAATCATAATACGTACAACAACAATGTATTATGAATAAACAATAAACAAATATAATTCAACTATTTGTAAGATTAAAAAGGGGGTACGTAGGTAATCAGTCAGCTGTACATTAGGTGTCGAGTGTATCTCATAATTTTGTAAGATTCTGAGCGAGACGGTCTGTCAGTCTGTCAGCTTATATTACATTATTACTAAGTACCTAGGACATAGGTATACCTATATTTTATGATATATTTATATTGCTGTTAAAATGATTTATTATACTGTAAGTAATACGGTATAAACTATAAATATGCAATAATTTAAAATGAATCTAAATATTTTGAAAATATCTATAAGTAGCACAAAACAAGAGCCAAAATATCTTTAAAATGAAACCAAGTCAAAATCAATTTTACCGAATATTAATCATGCATCAAAATGCCAGGTCTTAACTGACTTTTTTTGTTTTATCTTTATTTTTAAAAGTACTGAGAATTTTCAAATTTTATCTACCAAGAGTCCAAATCGATACAACTTTCCACCTTCATAGTTGGAGATCAAAGCATTTTTTCTACTTTAAATCGTCCACGCACTGCACGCATACACACTTATAAACACGCATCATAGCAAAATCAATACATTCAACACTTTACTCAAAATCCAAAATAATTAAATAACGTAATAATTTCTCAATAACAAATGATTATTATAACAAATTCACTCCCGGTAGCATAGGTACAATATTATAGCAACAAAATTTTTATTGATTTAACTCATATAACAGTAGGTAGACTGTAAGATTGTATGAACTATGTGAGTTGTTCTAGGGAAGTATAAAGTCTGAACGATAAATTTCGACATTAATTTTTTATATTGTATACCTAATAAAATATGAAACTGATTTTTAAATTAAAAAATAAAAGTCCATTTCAAAAATTTCAATGGCTTATTTTACTTTAAATAATATTTTTTAATTATTTTTGTATGAGTTTAAAATACGATGTTTATCTAAGTTTACAGTACCTAAATGTATTCAATTTTTACGAATAAGTATATTGGATTAAAGCAGTATGTTTACATCAACAAAAATGTATATTATTTAATATCGCTACCTTTAAATATTTAATAAATATCATTAATGTTTTGATAATAATGAAAAGTTAATTTTGTGTTCATACTATCCGGGATGTTTTATAGTCTGTGGTCTGCATGCCTCTCGCCCGCCGATGTAAGTGCCAAACCATCAGATCCGACGACGTCACCGTAGCTTTTGTTTTTCTATCTCGGGAGTATATTATTATTATAATAATCGTACCGTCGTTCCCGTAGCCTATACATATAAGCTATAAAGTACTACTTCGGTGCTGCTGTACGGTGTCCATTAGTTTATTATTGATTATAAAAATACTATTAATGATCGTAGTACAGAGCTCGTGTTTACTTTTTGACACTGTCGTGGACCTTGACGACTGACGACTGACATCGCTAGGGGGATTTAATGTTGTGATATCTCCTCGACACTTGTCACTGGGCACGAGGGTTGGATCGCCGTCTGGTTTTAAAAACGGTAACGACTTTTATAAACGATGTTCGACGGGTTCACCATGAACATGATCCTGACAGGCAGTGTGTGTGTGTGTGTGTGTGTGTGTGTGTGTGTGTGTGTGTGTGTGTGTGTGCGTGTTCAGCTACGAATTTAGCTCTTGGCTGAAAGGTCTGTTCAAAACAGTGATCCCACTATGTTTAACTTTATAAGAAAACTAATAATAACTAAACAGTTATTCAAAATAGCTTTTTGGACATAAATTAATTACGTTGTATGGCTAATATTATTTATTAACTTATAAATAATGACAAAAAATTATGATCTTGCAGCTGCTCGCAAAATATAAGTTGATGACACTTTCAAATGTATAAAATATAAACACATATGTAAATTAATTACATTTGTTGGTTTTATGAAAATCATAACATTTTTAAGTACCTATTATAAAGGTACATATCTAATATCCTCAACGTCATGACACCTTTCACTTAAAGTTACCAATGTGTCTATTATGCAGTATGCCAGTATGTTGATGTGCTCACAATTGGTTTCCACATAATATATCACATAATACGCAGGTACACATATTGCAGACTAAAGTATTTCGGACCTTGTGAGTGTATGTGCACCAGTACTCAGTGATGAGACAACCAACGACGACAATGGTTAGTGACTCGGAAAGAATGTCATCGCCTGTATTTTTTACCCACGCACGAATTGAAACTATACATTTGTTGTTGATAAAACTGTCAGACAAACGATGAGTCGTCTGGAATCGACCAGTTAGTGCTGGTGCGAAGGAGATCCTGAAATATTTGAAAAGTTTTGAGCGGTGCGACTCGCTTATTTTCCACCGTCAAACTGTCGAAATTGTTTATTATTGCAGTTATTATTATTATTATTATAATTTTTAGTATTACTAATAAAACGCCCTTCGGCTGACAGAATCAAAATAAAATATGACTTAGTGATGATGGTGACTTAGGCGGGAGGAGGACATTGTTCTCGTTAGGAGAACAAATACGGTTCCGTTCGAAAATATTTGTTAAATACTTGGAAGGATGAACGTGAAAGTATCCAGAGGATTTCGCAGTTATTTCCTCCTCTGGGAAACGTATGAAAATGATTTGAAAGTTAGCCACCCTCTTGCATTTATTAGTATTCATGGACTCGGTCATTCCTATATATTTTTTTATAACTATTATGCTGTTGTAGTTTTAAACAACAACTCATTATTGTATCAGTTAAGACAGTCAAGATATTTGTTTGTCTATATAAACCTAAATTCAAATTCCCACGCAATATACGTTTTAGATTTGTGCCCATTTCAGCCACATACATTAAATGAAAATGTAATATAAAAAGTATATTATAATACATTAATACCTAATGATTTATATTTTATTTCTGCTAAATCAGTACCTAGCTAGCTAAATTATTTTAAGGGGATCGAAGCACACTTATTTTTCATACGTTTTAGACAGATAAGCGGTGGTAAATAACACACTCTTTGGAATGTCCGATTTTAATTTATATGTACATAATATTTATGAATTCATCAACAAAATATAATATAAGCTTTTTAGGTAGTCTATTTTCAATTTTAACTAAGATATTTTTTTCAAAATACCCATAAAGTAAGTAATTAGATTACATTTGTATTTATTTCGGACACATCTGATTCCTAAAGACCATTTTTAAAAACTTAAAATCGAACTTCAGGAAGTGTGTTTAATTTACAACCGGTTTTAGTAGCATTTATAGTAAGGTAGGCAAACAAAAGTATATTAAATTTTTCCTATTTATTGACACGTGCGTGCACGTATAAAAGTTGCATCCGGCGGCGGTTGGCCGTCACGGAGTGACAGCGATTATCGAAACTACACACTAATGTTCATTTACTACTCAAACATAAATGTAAATTTACTACTCCCAAATGTACATGTCTATGAATTGCCTGCAATTTACTCCTTAAAACATGATACGATCCAGCTCCCTTAATGTATTTATTAGTATGTATATACAACTATTATTGTTATAATTATTTTAATCTTTTTTTCTATTTTCAGGTAACACCGAAAGTTTGTCTGTTGGTACGTATAAATTGTATTCTATTATAAATACACGACATTATAGGTATTATTCAGTATGAAAGTATAATTGGTTGTTTGGCTTTTTTTATACCTCTATATTTGACCGCATTGTGTAATCAGTAAGCATAATTTTATCATAACTTATTTAAACTTTTCATTGCCCATACTTTGTGAATTTTCATTTGAATATCCGAATATTGACCTTCGGTATTTACTAGTAAGTATTATAACTGTGACATGTGTGACATGATCAGAAACATCTAATCTTAGGTACGATATGGTAGGTACAGTGTTATAAACATTTTTATTTTTTACCAGTTACGTAATCAAAGACTTTGATGTTGGAAACAACAAGTTTGTGGTTATAACTGCAGATTCAATCAAATAATTTCTAATAAGTAATAACGGATAAAGCTTAAGCATATATAAAAAAAGGCTTCACAAAACAAAATATGTACTCCTACGAATTTTATCTAGAAGACTAGAAACTTAATGTCAGTGAGTTATCAACTTTAATCTACCTGTTCAATATCGAGACCAAACCCTCCAAACCTATAAACATGAGAATTTCTACAAGTGTCTTGCTCTTTATTAACAGACTAAAGCAATTTTATTTAAAAAGTTAAATGTACTAGTTAATATACTTATTATGAATAGTATATTTACTATCTATAATTTGACTAAGGTTAATATTTGATTCTGAAACTGATTGATAAATTCATCGATTTTACTATCATGTACGTGTGTGTTTTATCCATCAATCACCACATTTTGGACTACAAAAATGCTTCAATCTTCCACTCTAGGATTGGTTTTTGGTAGAAAATCGGATCTAGATTAGAAGAACAGTACTTTTCAAAACAATCAAAAGAAAAAAAAGACAGAATTATGGAAAAACGGGAATCTTAATGCAAACCCGATTTCAACGAAATTTATTTTATTGTCATTCAAAAATAAATAAATGTGGAGACTCGAATTTGCAAAATATTTTGCCTCTTCTTGTGCTGGTTATAAACATTTGAGTTTTCTTTTAGTTTTTTTTCGATTTATGTGTGAACACGTTTTTTATTGTTAGTAAAAAAGCTTGAAAATAAGTACATTTTGTAATTAAAAATGTCCATATTTTTTAATTTTAATACCTTAAACTTTGAAAATTGAATACAAGATTCATCAAGTTTTTACCTGAAAATTAAAAGAAAGTTTATCATATATTAAGTCATAAACATTTTTTATGAACCATTGTGTCCCTAGATTTTAATGACATTAGATATTCTCACGTAGAACACGATTTCTCGTAAAATTATTTTTGATATTTTGTTGTAAGTAAAAAAAAAAATATTTCCGCTGAATAGACGTCTGAAGCTCTTATGGTGCTTCCCTCATTTCTTTGTTGAAAAAAAAATGTTTTTAATGTTCCCAAAGATTTTCTTTCCTCCCATAGTTGGGTTGGTGGATCTAGGGCTGCTCATCAGTGACTTCATCGATAAAAAAATATTAACTAAACATTTGATTCGATGATAATATAGTATTAATTAAACATTCAGATTATATAAAAAAGGGTCTATGCCAAGATACTGTAAGTTATAATAATGAAATAAAAATATCAGAACCCAAAGCCAAAATTCTGGTTTTCCTCTCTCTAAGAATCATAATTATTAATTTTAAAACTTTAATTATCTTTTTAAAATTTAAATAATAAAAAATTGATATTTTATTAAGCATTATAATATGATTAGGTACATATATTATATTGAAAGTCAAGTTATAAAAGACTATGTTTACCTTTAAGAAAATTTATATTATCATTTGAGTTATAATAGTTTCTACTTATTAGTTATTACTTATTAGGTACCTAAGTCAATATTTTATTTAACTTTATACTTCTTTTTCAGCTTCTTCATATTTTATCCACCATTGCTTTGAATTTCGCGATTATTACTTCTCTACTTTAGTTTTCGGTCTTTTTACTTTACGGTTATTAGTTTCGTAATTTTGTATAGATACCTTCTTAAATGCACCTACTACGTAAATAACAATAACAAGATAAAATAAATGTAATTGTTTACATTCAACTTAGAGAGTACAAAATTTAATGTTTATACTTGCAAAAATTACTATAAATGAATGAAATAAAATTTAAAAAATCATAGAATACTCGTGTAGTACTTTATGATTGTTCATCATGAGAGTATACTATCCCCATAGCCTCCCCACTACTTTTTTCTACTCCGCTAAGGCGCTAATACATAGATAACATTATTGATAACTATACATTATATAATATAATCGAAAAAGTGAATCGGTGGAAAAGGAAAGGGTACGATGTTGGTTGAAAAGGGGAAACGACTTTTTTAAAATTTGATCAAAAAGTGAATCGGCCGGAAAGGGAAGGGTACAGTTTTTGTCGAAAGTGGTCTGGCCCTATCCTATTGCGTATAGTTTGCAGCGTCTATAGTCTATAACTACGAACAATGGATTTGAGTGTAGAATAGCGGGGGACCGAACGAAAACTGTTTTTTTGTGATCATACGCAATTCTATTTATTTAGTCACAATATTTTATATGACGTACGTATAAAGTATCGAGTATAGTTGGGTAATTTGATTCAGTGATATTATGTAATATAATCACTAAAGAACGAGAGAAAAATATTTGCGTAAGGTTAGGTGTTCCGCACTCCTCTTAGGTACTCACGTCATCGAGGTCCTTATTTATTTCTCCGTACAAAACTACAAAGGGCGTACAATACTAGTTTCCTTTTTTTAATTCGATAAATTGAATTTTAAACGCGGAATAGCGTTTACTCTACGCTCGGTAATAAAACACAAACACACACACACACACACACACACACACACAAACACAAACACACACACACACACACACACACACACACACACACACACACACATACACCTGCGTGCGTGTGCCACGTGCGCGTTGCAGCCATCTCGTCAGAGGACCATCGGCCGACGACGCTGCGAATAAAAACTCGTCGACGACGACGACGTTGTATAAATTCGATTACCGGCGTGTTTTCATTATCGTTTCGATAATGCGATTTTACAGATAATAATTACAGCAGTAACGAAATAAACGCGAGCGGCCGGCTTTCATGCCGACGGACGGACGACGTAATTTTATCGTTGTAGTATAATACACTGCACCTACGCCCTCGCCGGTCGCCGCAAAAGTACTGCAAAATATGTAATAATAATAATAATAATAATAAAAATAATAATAATAAATAATAATAATACGCACCTATATATTTATTGTTGGGCGAGAGGCGCGGCGCTCGAGTCTCTCAGACATTTTTCTCGAAAGTGTATGCAAATTGGATATTCGACACGAAAATCGCAAAAATGACGTGCGCACGTTTTCCTCAACCGCGGCGCGTCGTGTGTATATAAATATATATATAATATATATATATACATACAATATATATATATAAACCTACCTATGTATATCTGCGTGTAATATATTTGCAAGTATTATCATAATGCGGTCGTCGCGCGCGTCTACCGGAGTACCACCGACACGCCTTATATTTATATAATATTATCGAACTGTCTTAGCACTGTCGAAACGATTTGTGAATTTAAATAACTAATTTGCAAAATAGTTGTGTGGTAATTTGGATTTCGGAGAGGAACATTTCGATAACGCCGCGCGGCTCTCAGACGTTGCAGGCGCCTCGCGTATATTATTATAATAACCGGCCTGCCGTGCGCGTCTCGTACGTGCGCAAAAATCGTTCGAGTTTACACGGGGCACAGTGGTAATCCCATTTGACGATCGGTAAGGAATTTTCATAGAACGTACACCATGATGACATTATACATTGTATACTAATAGTTGTGTTACAGTATATTATACTTTTCTTCCTCTCCGTTGGCACATTAAACCTTTTTTTTTTTTTACATTATATAATTCGCAAGACAACATTATTATTATTATTATTTCCCTTCTTCCACCGGTCGCCGGGCGCGGCGCGTCGTCTAACAAATGCGATCGGTTATTTCAAACAGTTTAATTTTTCATTTCTTTTTATCTTTTCTTACTACTTCAATATTCAATTCGATCTTTTATCTCATTTTTTTTTTTTTTTGTTACAATTTACACGCTCTTTCTCTCTTTATCGATTTTTGTGCGTAACCAATGACTTTGAATATTGTAATTGAATGTAGGTACTTTACTCTTTACTTTTTACAATCTCTTTGTATAAATATAATATAGGTACCTAGTGGCCAGTGTATAAGTAGTATATTACACTTATATATTTTGATCGTATAATATACCATCTCAAAAAAAGTTTCCTTTGCTTCACGTCGTCGAATTCCTAAAATCGATTAAAAACTTGGCCTATACTCGGTGATTACTTTTCGATAAAAATGAAAATGTTTTTGATTAAAATTATACGACCGTGTTTTTAATATTATATACCTACAAAAAGGAAACTTCAGGTTGTTTTAAATCAAGTCTAAAGTTAAGTTTACATAATTAGTAAACCTGCAGATGCCGAAATGTTTTATGTATTTAATGGGTACGATTAGCAATAAAAAGCAATACGCTTCAGTTACAAATACAGGTAAATCAACCGAATTTCTTCAATTACCGAACATCTAAAGTTTTCGACGTGAGGAGTAAAATTATATTAAACACGCGTATATATTAAAAGACAAAGCGCTGTTAGCATAAATATTAATCTAAACGGAAGTCGCGGTTTAATATTGCAATATTATATCTATACGTGCGATACTACCTGTCTGCAGCAGTAAGTATAAGTTCTCAAAACATTGTTTGTCGGTATTAAATACAACGTAGTTGACGTTCCTTTGAGGTTTCGTACGCGTATAATTGAACAAAAAAAAAACTTGAGTTCAATTCCATTAAAATCATATTATATATATGTATACATTGTGTGGGCATAATATATGTATTATTGACTTTTCACCGTCTCGGTTACACACACAAAAGTGCATGATTTGCTGGTT